ATGTGTATACTTCAAAAGATTTTCTGAGAATAACTTTATTATATTATTGTTGTATGTGGATGACATGTTAATTGTAGGAAAAAATAACGGGCTGATCGCAAAGTTAAAGAGAGATTTGTACAAGTTCTAAGGATGAAGATAGTTCGAGAGAGAACAAGTAAAAAGTTGTGGCTATCTCAGGAGAAGTACATTGAACGTGTACTAGAACGCTTCAACATGAAGAATGCTAAGCCAGTCAGCACACCTCTTGCTAATCATCTAAAGTTGAGCAAAAAGATGTGTCCTATAACAGAGGAAGAGAAAGGGAACATGGCTAGAGTTCCTTATTCTTCAGCAGTCGGAAGCTTGATGTATGCAATGGTATGCACTAGACCTGATATTGCTCACGTAGTTGGTGTTGTCAGCAGGTTTCTTAAATATCCTGGAAAAGAACATTGAGAAGCAGTCAAGTGGATACTCAGGTACCTAAGAGGTACCACAGGAGATTGTTTGTGCTTTGGAGTATCAGATCCAATCTTGAAGGGCTATACAGATGCTGATATGGCAAGTGACATTAATAATAGAAAATCCACTACTGGATATTTGTTTACATTTTCAGGGGGAGCTATATCATGGCATTCTAAGTTGTAGAAGTGTGTTGCACTTTCAACAACTGAAGCAGAGTACATTGCTGCTACAGAAACTGGCAAGGAGATGATATGGCTCAAACGGTTCCTTCAAGAGCTTGGATTGCATCAGAAGGAGTATGTCGTCTATTGTGACAGTCAAAGTGCAATAGACCTGAGCAAAAACACCATGTATCATGCAAGGACGAAGCATATCGACGTGAGATATCATTGGATTCGAGAAATTATAAAGGATGAGTCTATGCAGGTAAAGAAGATCCATACAAGTGAGAATCCTTCGGATATGCTGACCAAAGTGGTACCAACAGACAAGTTTGAGCTATGCAAAGAACTTGTCGGCATACACTCAAACTAGAACCTTCGGTGTTACCTCCTTCAGGTGAATGAGATTGGAGGGGGAGGTTTGTGGGGTCCACCCCATAAATCAAGGAAGAAATCTTCCTTCCTTGATTAGCAGCAACCCACGTTTCTTTCTACATTTGTCAAATATGGCAGGCGTGCAGATGAAAAATGTCAAGCGTAGTAGGCGAGGTTCTGCCTATAAAAGGAGAGCTTCGGCTCTCATTTTATACACCAATCTCAGAGAAAAAGTATATCTGAGAGTTAGAAAGAAAGAGTGAGGTTTCACAGATAGGGTATAAGAAAATAGTCTGTGAGAAAAATAGAGAGTGAGTGATATTGTAGTGAAGTGGGAATATCAAAAGAGGGTTATTTCTTTTGAGTGTTGTAATGGTCTTTTGAGTATTTTACTCGGACCTACAAAGTGTAAAATTCCTTGCTATACTGATATCAACTGCTCTTCTCAGAGCCGTGGTTTTTTCCCTTATTCAAAAGAGTTTTTCACGTAAAAATCTTGGTGTCGTTGTTACTCTTTTATTCTTGTTAATTACCGTATCTCAGTGCTACATTATTGTTCTGCTTTTATTACCGTGAATATTATTATTGTAGGGATTTATTCCGAACAGGTTAGAGCATCGTGCTAATAACGCGAAGGTCGCAGGTTCGAGACCTGCATGGGCCATTCGATCTCTTTTACCTCTTTTAAGTTTCAATTGTACTTGATTCTGGAGCAGAATTTATTCCTCACATTAGTGGAAACACCAGCAAGACTGACATCTGCTTTTTTGTTCTTCAATTCTTTTTTGATTCCACTTCTTTCTTCTTCTCTTACTTATTTAATTTTAAAAAAATTTAAGAGTACATCTTAGTTCTGGAAAACAAGAGAAAATCACCAGCACTGTTAACTAAGCTAGCTCTGTTTTTTTTTTTTCACGATGTAATTGAAGGAGTATAATACATATAGTCGACTCAGTCATGCAAAACTCAAAGGAACAATAGAAGAATGAACAGAAATTATGACAATTTTTATCACACATACACCACATAACATATACATAACCAATATTTACACTTTGAAATTACACATACAAAAGCAAAAGTCTGAGTTCCCATTGGTTATCCTCAAACTTACACCAAACAACAAACCACCAAAGTAAGCATAAGTCTGAGGTCCCTTTAATTTGGTTATCCTCAAAACTTACACCAAACTAAAAACCATCAAAGGAAATTTAAAAGAGGAGAAGAAGCTTGTCACACACGAAAAACTACTCTCTTGTTACAATCATTTAAGTCCACCATATATCACCTTGTTTTTCTTCTTCAACATAAAGATCATGATCACTTTACTGCACGAGCAGAAATCCGATGGCACCTAGCCGGCGACTGCACACCGCCGGAGACCATTCTTTTGGTGACAGTGGCTGCAGAAGGTGACGATGATGAAGTTGTCGAAAACCTAGTATCTGCATGTCCAAAAAGCTGTATATCAGATGTTTCAAAACGGCCTGAATCACCTGGAAGTCTCATGTAAGAAGCTGAAGGCGACTCATTCAACCATGTTGTCCTACCTGCATTTTTGTATTCTACTATTGCTTTGTATACTAATGGGATCAACCCCTCCATTTCTTTCCCTTTGTTCTATAAGATTTTTTAGTTGCTTTTTTGCAACTTTAGAAGAAAGTTTTGGAGTAATATGGAGAACTTTGAGTTGGTGAGGAGAATTTAGGGTTTATATAGTAAGGTGATTTATTTGATAGGAGTGTCTAGCTGTAAATGCTAAGCAAAGGTGACAATGAGGCACGAATTAATGGAAGTAATTAAAGGATAAAATAAAGAAGCTTCAAAGCAATGACAATGAGAAACTCTATCACATGAAAGCTCCATTTAAACTACATTACTTTTACATTTTACCAACTCTCAATTTATTATTTCTCTTAATCTTACTTAGCACATCTAATTTATAAATTAAATAAATCTATTGGTCTGACCAGTACCTGATTCTTCATTTTGTTGTTCTTAAATTAGTGTCCATGGTTTTTACATGATACTATATTATATATGTGGTAGTTTGATTTCCGGCTTAAAAGAATTTATACTATGTTTCTTATTAATTGATTTCCCACCATTCAATTTTATCTGGCACTATTTTCTTATTAATTCGTTCCTGACATACATTTTTACATTTTGAAAATATTCAATCTTTAAATTTCACATTTTATCTTTACTGCCATGCTATTTCACTGCATATTTAAAATCACAAGTTACAAAATAAATTCTTTCCTAAACTATGCACCCGATAAAATTACATTACATAAATTTAAACAGATGGAGGCCATAAGAAGGGTTGACATTTAGATAGTTTATACTCCCTCCATTTCAAAATAAAATGAACCTATTACTATTTGGGGAATCAAATAAAGTTTTCTTTTGACCATATTTTTTGCAAATTGTTTTTAGATATTTTGAGTTATTAATTATTGTGACTTATTGTACTTTTTATTTAGTTTTTAAATATGTAAATTTTATTTTAAAAAACTTAAAAATTTATGTACGAAGTCACACAAAAAATTAGTAAATTTGACCCTTTTATTCTAAAAAGATTCAAACAAATTGAAGTGGAAGGAATATCAGATTAGCAGAATATATACGCCACATGATTATGACAGTATACAATAGTAAACGAATAATAGAACTATACAATAGTAAACGAATAATAGAACTTCCATCAAATTTTAATGGTTAGTTCATATGTAGTTTTTCATTATTTGGTATCTACCATATCTTTTAGGATATGGTGAGTCTATTAGAAGCTTTCAAAAGTGATGTACTTGCTGCCATTTTCGATTGCTATTAACAGCTGAACCATATTATTTTTCTTCTCTCTCTCTTTTTCTTTTTTCTCTTCTTATTCCCATCTATGGTTTTTAAGAGTGGCTGCCTATAACTATCAGAAGCACCAAAAGTGGAACAATAAAGAAAAAGATAATTGTCTGGCTTGAAGAGGAAAATTTCAAGACAAAGAGCTGTCACTTAATTTATATAAATAGATTCACTATTTATTTTTTCCGGTCAGTATATATAGATTATATATTGATTAAGAACTTTTTACATGAATAAATGGTAGGATTCACTATTTATTTTCCTAGCCGGCATATATAAATTATAAATTAATTATTCACGGTTATACAATATATGATACATGAATTATATATATATGATACATATATCAGCTATTTTTAGTTTAAAAGGTTAACTGGGCGCCTATTTTGGTTATATTTTTTATTGATTATACACATTTATACGCATATTATACATTAATTATATATCCGTTAGCTATTTTTAGTTTAAAAGATTAGTTTGGTGGCTATTTGGGTTAATTTTTCATTAATTATTGCAAATGGTTACATGTGGACACATTGAACGAATCTACTTATTTACCTTCAGGAATTGTTTGGCTTCATAGCATCTTTAAGGAATTATTCAAGTCTTGACAAAAATACTCGACATAAATGTTAATATAAAAATGTTGTTAATTTCGTCCATTGTACTAGGCACATTTGGGAGCATTGAACAGCTGGCTTGCCAAGTGCAGTTTGACAATATAATAATGGCTCTTCTAGAACAAAATGGAGCAGTTGCTTATACTGACGTTAAACCAACTTCTTAATTATCCTAATCATACTGGTTTTAATAAGTTTAAAGACGATTAAAGAATTGAAGGGAAAGAGATAAATGTAATTATCCTAATGTCTAATGACATCCATTTGATTGGTTGTAATATGAAAGCAAGTGGTTGGTTTGTAAGATGGTATTCGAGTGTCTCGTATTGGTTGCGGGCAGTGACCGAGTCAGGAATTTTATTAAGGGGTATCGAAATATAAGAATTTATATACACCAAGGGGAGTCAATATATAATAAATATACATAAAATAAAAAAATTATCTAGCAATAGAATATAATTTACTAAAAAAAATTAGTAAAGGGGTGTTGCTCCTCGGTTGAATGTGGCTCCGCCACTGGATGCGGGCATGGGCTATATTAAGAGAACACTACAGTTTAGAGCCTAATTAAGATACGTAATAATAGTTTGCCAACTGTATTCGTTACAACGAATACAACCAAGGCGAAATAAAAAAATACAAAAAAATAGAATGCTCTCATTGAGAATTTGAGAGTCAAAGTCGAGACCTCTGCTTACTAAATGAATGATATAACCAACTAAGTTACAAGAACTTGTTGCTCTCCTGTTCAGTTAAAAATAATTAATCTCATGTTTCAGTACTATGAGTACATTTTCTATAAAATTTAAATATAGTTACGAATAATAATTTTCTGAATGTATAGCTACGTTGTGTGCCGTGTAATTTTTCCTTATATTAACGTCTTAAAGCATATATCTTGAGAGATGCATAGATAGAGAACACATATAATCCATGATGCATAAGAGAGACGACGAACCTCGTAGCTTTATGACTAACATGTCACTTTTTATTTTCTCAAGATTTCGATATTCCTTTTTTCTGCCTTGATGTTTTAAGAATCCAACAATATTACTCTGTATTTCATTATATGCTTTTTGGATAAATCGCAACATGTTTTAGGGACTCCTTTATTCATTTACTCAAGTCTCCTCACTTTCTTATTCTAGTCCTTTAATTAATATACAACTTTAAACTAATACTATCAGCGGAAGACGACCTTTAGTAATAACATTAAACTAATAAAGTCAGTGGAAGATTATTTTCCAAGTTGCATAGCAAGTGAAAGAATGTTAAGAAAACGGGTACTTTTCTTCATTCTTTTCGTGCGAATAAAATTCCACGTTGATAGTTGAAAAGATTGGGAAGCTACATATAAGGTGCATAAATTCTTAATCGTGCGAGCTTGGCCTAAAGTGGACAATACCATATCATGTTAAGAGTATGTGAGCTGGTTGAGCCCAATAACTGGTATCAAAGCCCAAATACGACAGAACGAGTATGACACTGACTGCGTGATGGTGCGGGGCTCAATTTGCTTATCCTTACGATCTTAGAGACGTGCACTCAAGAAAAAGTTAGTTGCGGGCTTCAGTTGGCATAAATATCCTAACGATAAGGGTGGCACACTATGAATCTCAGAACTTGACCCGTGACTTGTGGTAATGGGCCACGTGCAACTTGGTTCAAGGGAGAGATCCGTGGATTGTGATAGCGGTTCACGTGAAACTTAGTTCAAGGAAGAGATTGTTAGATGTGTGAGCAAATTCTCATATTGATAGCTGAAAAGAGGTAAGCTCATATAAGGTGTATAGATTCTTAATGGTATAAAGCATTTTGAGAAAAACCGTTTAGTTTTGACCCAAAGTAAATAATATCACGTCATGTTAACAGTATACGTCGGTTGGTTGATCCAACAATTTTTCTATCACACCTTGTTGTAAAAATTAATTTATCTTCCTATAGTGTACAAATTTTAGTTACGTGTTAGTTTTCAAGAGGCAGATGAGAAGTCTCTATAGTTTAACCTATAATTTGAACTTCTCTTTTTCCCTCAACTATTAGTATTGGAACGTAACGAGCCACCAACTTTTGTCTGATTTCGTCAACAGTGTTTGGTAATTAGAAGAAAAAAAATTGTCCTAAGTAGTTATTTTATCAGTTTTTGCATTCAATCAAAGTTTCCAAAACCTTACTTACTCAATAAAGTACTTTCTGTTGCTACTTAAAGCTTATAAATTATAATTATGTTACATATGATTTCCGTTGACATCCAATTTAATTTCGTTGCTTCTTCGACTATAATTAAGATAAACCGACTTTTATGGACTCCACTTGAGATGAAGTCATTAATTGCATCACTAATTAATCAAGTAGTCCACTAATGTGGATATAATCTTCAAGTCATTTTCTATTTTCTAATTAAAAAAGGATTAAGCTTCAAAGTAGGAATCAAGGTGTCCTCCTCCAAATGCCATAGATAAAAACTTCGTGCGCCTTTGTATTGGGCGTTAGGTAAAGAAAGAGGATTGAGCTCTCATAGTCTCTGTCTAAAATTATGAAATTACCCTTTTGAAATTGAAATCACGATCGCTCCGTATATAGATTTAAATTATATAGTATAAAGATTTTTTAGGTCATTAGTACATTTTAACATGTAATCAGACCTCTTTATATCAATATTTCTATATAACATTTATTCATTATAAAACTGATGTTTTTTTTGAAACCGATTTTTATGTTATGTATTGATAAGTGAGGATATTGACTGCTTATTAGCGCCTTTTAGCTTTTGTTTTAGTCTAAAAATATTGAAATGTATTCCCGAAACTAATGAAATGGTGCAAAATTACAGGAATGATAGAAGTTGATCTCCCGAGATGAAATCCGACTAAAAAAGGAGTATTCCGAAGTACAACGCAACAAAGGGCACAGAAGTACAAATGTGCGGTCCGCAGAAGGAATTCTGTGGCCACAAACGAAGAGGAAGATTTTAGCAGAAATGTGCGCAAAGTGCGGACCGCACATGAATTGTGCGGCCGCAAAGCTAGGCTAAGAGTCGATGATCAGAGAGTATGCAAAAACCCAAGTCCAGGAGCCTCTATGAATTGTGGACCGCACAAGAATTGTGCGGCCGCAGAAGAGTTGCCTTGCGGCCGCAGTTCAGATATATGCGGCCATAGAACTCCAGTTCCTGCCAGATGAAGAAATATGCAGACCACACATGGAATTGTGTGGCCGCAAAACCACCCGAGGGGCATTTTTGTCCAAGATTTCTAGCCCTGTATAAATAGACGAATTCCACAAATTAGGTCAAGTTTTGAAAATCTGAAGTTTCTGTAGCCGTTTTTCTATACTACTTTAGGAAGTTTT